ACCGACTGAGACCAAAAAAACCTGGGGGTTCAAGTTGAGGTTATATGTGACCTAAATCCAAGAGATGGGGACAGGGGTCCTTGCGGTCTAGGAGGAGAAGCGGTAACGGTGACTTGTATCCTGCGCCAGTACGTGGAGCCGGCGGAGCTTACGGAGCCAACGGAGCCGGCGGAGCCGGACGAGACGGGTCGGGACTAAAACCATGAGTACCGCCAGCGTACACGCTGGTGGTACTAATAATTCAAACATTTAGATTACAGATTAATGATACCAATAATTTTAATTGCCTCGGAGTCTGTTTTCAATCCACCACAATTTTGCAATCTCAGTCAATTCCTATTCAAATATACTGTAGCAGCAAATAAAGCACCGTGAAATCATGAAGCATTATGCTGACTTGACTCCATCAATATACAGATTGAAGTCTCAGAGCATTTCGCCAGTTCTGACATAACACATGGATCCTGTCTGACTTCAAATCTAATTTTTAACTTCCAGAACCTATGAAAATCCATAGATAACTCTGATACTTTCCACTTACAGCCTGGCAAAAAATAAATAATAATAATAAAAAAACAAGAGAAAATATTTCTCCTTTGGTGGACATTACCAGTTAAGTTATCTCAGGTTTGCCAGAGTTAAGTGATCAAATGAAAAGATTTTTTTTCATCATGTTTTGAACCCAAGAACAACACATGAAAACACAGTGGAATTCAAAATACTTGCTGATGAGGACTGCTGGATAATACAAAACCCTTGAGACAAAAGGGGGAGGGCATTTCTGGATTAAAATTTACTTTTTTTATATTGAACCATAATGTGAACTTCATTTTCTCCATTAATTCCATCTATTAAAAAAAAAAAGTACATCAAAAATGGCTTTTAACCAAATCTACTATTAAGTATCACCTTTTCAATACCTTCAGGACAGAAGAAACTCATCATCATCATCCCTAGACATATAGTGAGACTCTTTGTGAGTTCTTAAATATGTATTGGTATTAATACACCT